CATCACCATTACAAACTGGGTAATGGGCATGACAAACCGGGCACGGTTCTGGACAGTCAGGCCGTGTCCCGTTCTGTGCCCGCTCAGGCACGGAATGGGACGGGCACAATTTGAGACACAACAGTGGTCCCCTTTCCACGATAGTTATCGTGGAAGGTGATCGAATAGGGTGCCTGCGATTGAGTTAAAATATTCTAAAAATTCATGGTGGTTGGTCTGTTAACATAGTGATATTTTACCTGTTTCGTATTTTCTGGTGCTCTGGCGTACGCATGTTTGTAGAGATGTAGTAGCTGAATCCCCCACAGACAAGAATTGCCACAAACACCGATGATAGCTTCCTCTTGCAGATCATGATGACCTCCCCATTCAACCTAGATCGACGAGAAGGTTATACTGTTGCTACGACCAAGCTACGACAAAACATATATTAAAGGACAAATCCAATACTTTCAGTTTTGGGGCCTTTCCACCCAAAGTCCTATTTGTAAATGGTGATTTATTGGTTTCTGTCAACCCCGCACATATTTGCGGTGATATCTTAAAACCTTTTCAAACAAGAAGGGCTAAACCCCTCCCCACCCACTCCCTGGGACTGGCCTAACACCACGCTCATTCGGCGTTGCGGATGCTTCCAATGGTCGCAATGGTGATTAGCCGGGATGACAATCATGTTTAAAGGGTTAATGACGTCATGCAGGATTTAACCAATCACAGCGCAGTGTTAATAGTTTACTATCGCGATTCAGTGTCTTATTATATCTTTTTTGTAAAATCAGAAGAACTTAGATAATTTTGATACTCAACATACCTATATTTGCTAAGAATAAAGTTGATTTGCGGTGATTTGTGGATCGCGTGTGTTCCGCTTAAACTCGAGGTCCGTCGTGAATGCATGTTGGAAGGGGGCACGCTTACGCAAAACATATTCGGAGGGAAATGGATTCGCGGTACTGAAGTCCTCGCGGATTTCGCGAATCTGATTCTACCACGGAAATGTTTAGACATACAGAGTATATTACAACGACGGGATTCTCCTTTCTAGGGCTCTAAACATAAGGTACATAATAATTCTCGTCTCCGACGTCTACCGACGCTTGCAGCCGCGGACCACTGTCAACTCTGCAGCCAATGCCAAGTTTCTAACTCCTACGTACTAAGTACAAATTCCAATCGGGACCATTGTTCCATGTGCTCCCTACAACATCGCTACTTTCTGCAGAATCAACGCCTAAGGAAGGATAAATTTGCCAAAAAGAATTAAAAGTGCCAAGATCCCAAAGCACGTTATTTCAGCCTAAATCCGGACATTTCGCGGCTAAAACGAGGAATGCCGAAACGTCGAAAAGACATTAAAAACTAGAGGTCGGAGATCCCATGCCTTTGTCAGAGGAACACTGTTTTAGATAATTGAACATGTGTATTCTTTACTTTTTTTAATAATCAATTTGGTCTAGACTACAAAAGAATCGCTGTACTCCTTTTACTCCTTCTACTCCTTTGTACAGAACACTCTGAAATGGTTTGCCATAAATTTACAGACGCACCGTCACCCGTGTTAGGCCCAGTACATTATTTGACTTTTGACTGTTACTGGAAAAAAAACTGCTGCAAGAAATTCTGCTTACTGTATTATGATCAATGTGTCACGACAGTGTCGCAAAATATAATAAGATAGGGTGAAAGGGAAGATTCAGTACAGGGTGACTACTACTGTTTAGCAGAGACTTATTGCTTTTTATGACAAATACAAGAGATGTTTGTTGTTACACTATGTTATTTTATTCAATTTGTGTCATTTGTATTTCTACAGTTAGTATTTTCAAAATCTAGATATCTTGATTTTTCGGTTCTTCATGTTGTTTATCCTTGCATTGAATTTAAGGTCTCCAATGGACGTCATCCATAAAATTACTTGGTTTGGCCTTAGAGAATGACCTGACGAATGTCCAACATTTCCTCCTCCCACTGTAGTAATAGAACAGCCCCTCGATTCAAGCAACTGATTCCAGATGGAGTTCCAAGCTGTCCCCGATTGAATCCAAACAGAGGTTGGTGGGGGAGGATCGTTATATTTCTAACGCAAAAGGTCTTGAACTTGACCTTGGCCTCTACAACGGTAAACCTACCTTCAAAAAATCATGAACATTCCTTTAAATATACTCGAGTTACTGTGCTATCAAGTGACAAACACAAAAGGTCCACTGCAATGACGTAGGAACCCCCCACGAAGTTCAAACTTGCACTTGACTTCGGCCTTAACAACGGTAATCTGCCTGTTATATTATCATGGACGTCCAATCATGCTTTCAAGACTTATTATGCTAAATCCACAGTTACCCACAATACGGCGGGACAAATCCATTGTCTTTCTGACAAAGACAACAACAAAAGAAATCGCTTTGCAGACAACAGTCGCCGTTTTACGAAAATAATGCAGCGAGGTATTGTGGGATGACGTAATCAGTTATTGCATAACGTCATTTGACCCCTGACCTCTTCCAGCCTTCGCGCGTGAAGTAACTTTCGGGGTTTTCCGCGTTTTACAGCGCCGCTAAGTTTTCGAGTAGAAAACACCCCCATTCCCAGTACATCCGGGACACCCGCACACAGGGCATGTACTGTGATCCCGGATATACTAGTATCCAAAGCTTAAGGATTAAAAAGGTTGTCATTGGGTGGAGATTGGAGAATATGACAACCGATGTAATTCACGATGGAAATGGAATTGGAATCCTATTTTCATAATCAAGATGACAAAAAATATAATTTCCTGTGTTAATATGGTTTGAATGGTTGGCGAAGTTATGAGTCGTGATACTCTTGTTTGTAATAAGGCAACACCGACATAATTTTTTGATGACATCCTCTGACGACCCCCCCCCTACCTAGTGCGCGCGGGCGAATTGAAAATCCGGCCAAATATTACAAAAATATATTTTAAACCACAAAAAAAACTTCAACAGGAATACAGAGCTGATATTGTTAATGCTTTGTTAGCCGGCAAATGCTGGAAATTTATGAATCGGCACTGCATGCATGTACTGAGTTCTTGAGTCGTGGAGCTTAACTACCATGGCCTAGAGCCAGGTCAGAGCATCGGTGGACATGGTTTTTTCGAGAACAGTCGAAAATCAATGTGCGCGTGGATGTCATCCATGAAATTAAATCGATTTGGCAATATATATATATATATATATATATATGACTACGAACATTTCTATCTCTTTCTACAAATGCATCAAAACAATCGCAGCACGTATACAGTACGCATCAGGTGCACTTTAACCAAACATCCTATAAAGAACTGACAACTTTTACCTATACGGTTCTGGAGATTGGCGTCTGGCTCTCAAAATGTCCCCTTTTTGACGTTTTCTAATTCTTACGGGGTCGTTCCAGACGTCCCTCACAAGAAGTCTGTGGTAGAACAATGTTGACGTGGAACTGAGCGGAAAGCTCTGTCCAGATACTCCCTCAAGATCTGTTTATAGTTCCGGCTATGCCTATGGTCACAACATCCGTGTACGATCGAAGTGTCACTAATGCTCGGCTTTACATTAGGCCACACTGACTTAATTGTATGGATGACATCCACGCGCGCATTGGTTTTCGACTGTAGCCTTAAAAAAATCACGTCCACCGAGGCTCTGGCCTGGGTAGTCCATGGTAGTTAGCGACAATACGGAGCCGGGTACCCAGGCTACCGAAGCTCCACAACTCAAGAACTCAGTACATACGTACAGTGCCGATGCATGAATTCCGCAAAATGCTAGCATGTGCTGGCTTGTCGTATACGTCGCTATGTACTGTCGCGAATTCACAATACAAGCTTTTTATTCCTGTGGTTTAGTAACATTTTTAATTTTGGCCGAAATTGTTTTGTTCGCCCGCGCGCACTAGTTTGGGGACTTCAGAGGATGTCATCCATAAAATTAAGGCGGTGTGGCCTTACATATGCGATACTAAGTAAAAATGTTTTGAAACAATCATAATGACGTGGTGTGATTTAGTAAATCAAGGAAAAAAAAACTTACATATGCATTGAATCAATTTTCCTAATACGCCAAAAAAAGCAGTTACTCAAGCAACTGGATATGATTTTGAAAACGTCAGACGTTTCAGCTAGTATCCACTAGCTTTCGTCAGTGACTGAGAGACCAGAGGGGGAATGCAAGTTTATAAGCACAAATTATTGACTGATATGCAAAAAAGTGAAGACAATTTTTTGGGAAGTCGAAAAAGGAACAAAAGTCAGACAAGTCAAGACTAGATAATGCAAATTAGTCAGAAAGCTCCCGTTATACAGAACAGGAGCTTAAGCTCAAGCATATCAATCAATAGTTTGTGCTTATAAACCTGCATTTCCCCTCTGGTCTCTCAGTCACTGACGAAAGCTAGTGGATACTAGCTAAAACGTCTGACGTTTTCAAAATCATATCCAGTTGCTTGAGTAACTGCTTTTTTTGGCGTATCGTATTACCTGGATGTCTAACCTTCATCGACAAATTTTCTTAATGTTTCACTGCACTTATTATAACACATTTATGAGCTTGTCTCTTATCCCCCCTCTCATGTATTCAGTAGCAAATGTTAGTGTTATCATCCCTCTGCCACGTTACTAATACTGTAAGTCTATACATTTCCGCGGTATATTTAGATTCGCGGAATTCGCGGGGACATTTGTACCGCGAATCTATTTCCCCGCGGATATATTCTGCATAAGTGTGCACCCCCCCCCCCACATGCATTTACGACGGACCTCGAGTTCAAGCGAAACACGGGATCCACAAATCACGGCAAATCAACTTAATTCCTAGCAAATGTAGGTAGTTGAGAACTGTATCAACATTGTTAAAGTTAAACTGTTATCAAAAATACTATTATGAGACACCGAATCTCGATAGCACTGGCCGTGTCAACGGCGTACCGCCCGGCAAATATTTTGACGAAAAATATAATTGTCGGTATCTTTTTTCTTTCGTTCTGATGAGTAGAAACGCAAGCGTGGCGTTCCTTACAAGGCGACCTTGGGACACTTCCGCATTTATCGAACGCCAAAGTCATCGAATACGCCATAAATTGGCATTGCAACACATGTTCTCCCAAGATTCTTGTTATTTCTTCACTACAGTATCGATGTGTAGTTGTGGGAAATAGCACTTTAGCGCTATTTCCAAACAAACAAAATTGTTTTACGCGCTTCAGTTTGATTGTGTATTACCGCCGGCACGACGCAACAACCAAACAGAGACGCGTACTGCGGACATGTGATTCAACATTTGCATACCGACAGAACATGCCGGCAGTCTCGCGTGGTGCAGGAAACAAATTTTTGCGCCGCAATTTAGGAGATAAATGCCGGGCCACGAACTTTTATTAATGACTGAACGGGTCCAAATTGACCCTATTTGGTTTAAAAAAAAATTATATTCCTTTTTGCATTCTGTCAGTGATCTTTGCACATATATTGGTTAAACATAGTAAAAGGTATATTTTGGCATGACTAAAAAATGATAAAAAAGTATGAAGGCCTGCGATGATATAACCTTACAAAGTGACTAAGGGCTACCCTTGTTACTGTTAACGTTGGAAGTAGGAGAAATTAACCGGGAGAACACTGTAAAACTGAAGTCGCTCTGTCCTGTCGGCCATGAGGACCGTGAAGTGAGACACCTTAAAAGTAGACTGTGCCGGAAACACACAGGCTTGGGAATGTACTTCAGGACTGTTCTCTTGTAGAAGTGCAATCTGATCTGTAACATGCTCGATTTCTTAAGATTTCTTAAACGTATTTTTACGTATGTAAATGTATATAATGTACTTGCAACTTATGTGTAAAATTGATTTTTAATTGAAACACCAAAATGCCTTACTTTTCTTGATCCCTCCTCCTCTATCTAAAGGGCTGACCTACACTTTAACCAAATAACTTTCATCGTGTACATTCAATGAGATGCAAATGGGTTAAAAAAAGGTGTAGGACATATTGAGGTCAATACACTTACGCTGTTGGAGGCGATGTACCAGTTGGGCTTGTTCTTGTACGGAATGTACTTCCTCAGCAAGTTGATCTTGACTTTCCAGATCGGACGAGTCGGCTTGAGATGCAACATTAGAAACTAAAACTGGCGAAGCTTAAAGCAAATGACAAAAACTATATACGAAAAGATTGCTAATAAAACATAGAACAGTTACGAAAAAAAAATTGCATTAACAATGCACTAGCATTTCATCCTCGTGTCTAAATGTAAAATGGTTGTACTCGGATGGTTAACACGTTGTTTGCCTCTCAATTTCTTTTAATTTGTTCATAGTTAGCGTTCTCAGATAGTGCAAGTTTAGTCATACGAGTGCGAATGCAAAAAGCATGCAGTTGATATGCGTGACCTACAACCATGGCGCCGCCTATAGATTTGAAGGTGGGCGCCTCCACCCGGGGAGATCGGAGGCATCCTCTCGCACGTTTTACTTGTGTTCAGCCTATACCACTATCGTATGAATGAAATATATTGTGTTCTCTCATGTTTCTCCTCCTTCTCCTGCCACTCAGTCAGAGGGATTCAACTCAGCCATCATTCAGCCAAATGACCTGAAATTTGGCATGGAGGTAGAGTGGGCAAATGCCCCCAGTCTTTTTTTATTCATTTTTTTAAAACATGCCTTTGAAAAATTTTTATGAAGGTTTTTATGGGCAATTTTCGACAAAAATGGATTTTTGGATCCTGAGCCCTTGTATTACAACCAAATGATCTGAAGTTCGGTATAAGGATACCTTGAATGTGCACGATGGTCAGATTTGGGCCCAAAAGTCCCACTCCGCTACTATGGAGATCGAATCCCCCGAACCCGCGAATCTTGTTCGATATGACGTCATTCGAATAGAGCGGGCGTTCGATCTGGGGTTACCCGCGGTCATTTACAGTAAAGCCGCTACAACCGGCTACTTCAAGCCCTTTTTTACTTGGGAACCACGGAACAGGAAAAATCCACCTTTCACAAATATGAACCGTTTTCAAAATATTACATCTATGCCGTGATTTTATTGTGGATATGTAACATGTAACGAAGCTACTGCCGTCGTCGTGGGTGACCTTGAAGGTCAGAATTCTTGTTGACGCTGTTATAAAATCCAGGTCCCCATATCCAAGTGGCACAGCATGCGTGCAAACATGGTATTTTAACCATTCCCAAAAATCGCTCAAATTACCTCATTGAGGGCTTGTTTGGAAGAGGAACGATTTCCGCAGATTTCTGTCTTAGGGATTTTTTAAATATGGCCGCGATTATGAATTATCGGTATTTAAAGTTAAAACACTGCGTTTTTAGCTCTTCTTTTGACTGTAAGTCGAGTTTTAGTTAAAAATTAAAAATCCTAAGACAGAAAGTTTAAATTTACTATAATATTTCTAAAAATCCAAAAATCTAACCTTATTTTTAATTTTCGGGGCCTCTTAAAATCAGTTGTTTGGTTCTCGTGAACCCTTTTTGAAATCCGAAATTGATCTCATTTGGAAGCAAATGTACACAAAGTGGAGCAAAGGCAGTGCAAGAATAACATTTGAGGTAAACAAAATCACTTATTACATTTTATTTTGACGAGTGTTTACTCTCCAATTACTTTTGTTTATTTTCAAATTTTATCCGTTACCCCCGGGCCGGCCGGGACTCCTGCGCGGCCACGTTCGAACGCGTTCTGTAACCCGATACCTCCCTAATAATGCAACTTTTAGCCTAGCAACCGACCGCCGTGGTGTGCATACAGAATAGCAGTCACATATTTGACATACACCACTTCCAAATGACTCATTTGGGGGACTTTAATGGCTATTTTCAGCCAAAAAAAAGGCCGAAAGTGATATACCCGTTCTATGTTCCATCTAAAGAATGGCCCGTTCCATCTGCCGTTGGCCATCGAACACGTGCTCCATTGCGGGTTACCTGGGGTCACGTTGCACGTACGTCGTGCCCAATGACCCACAAATTTAATATTGGACTGAAATATGCTGTATTTGCTCCCAAGCAAATGTCGGCCTTTCCAGTATTGTAATGGAATTCTGTCATGGTATACACTACAGCAGACTGGTGTCTGCAGGCTGCCCAGAAATCCCAGTACTAAATCAACATTCATTGAAATTAGCCCAACGAACTACTAGTATCTATTTCATAGAGGCTTACATTTTTGTGAATTGACATACTTTTTTTTTGGGGGGGGGGTCTTTGGAGTTGAAATGGTAGAATGTATCGCTTACTTTATCCGGGACATTTGTTTCCACCACGAAGTCATCCTGTAAAAGTAAAAAGCATGCTTTTAGCTGTAGCTTATAACTTATTTCTTTACGAATATAATACATACATACGGCGTGTGCTATGACTTGCTTTAATAATAAACATACATTGTTGTAATAGTAGACATGCATTTATCTATTTCACTTTCAAT